GTCATGTACCACATGGCTGTAGGTCAGTCTCTGCACAACTAAATGAAAAAAAAAAAACATAATCAAAAAAAACTATGTATTCCCATTCTTTTCCCCACCTTTCATGGGAAAAAAGTTTTCTTTTTTTGCCAACAGGGTACTGTAGTATTCATCATCTGGCCAAATACTGAAGGACTCACGGAAGGTGAAGGTTCTTTGTTTCTATTTGATCTCTCACGACTTGAATTCCAACCGCAGAAGGTCTTTGATATTCTCCAAAAGGATGTCTCAGAGGAAACCTTTCATGATAAGCCAAGCTGGGCCGGCCCAGAGAGCAAAGCATGTAACTGGCTGCATGCTTTTTTTCTCGCCTCTTTATCCAACCCTAGGCCCAGGTTTTCCTTTAGCTCCAGCCTGCATCTCCACTTTGTTCTCAGGAAAAAAGTAGTGGACATGTTTAAAGGTGGAATAACTGCAGCTGAGTCCAAGATTTTCACAAGAACTTCAGGTGCACAGAAACACTGTTGGGAACTTGGAGATATCTTACATACCAATATGATACCAATACTGCAGTAGTAAAATACTGGTATTTTTTAAAGCTACTAAAAATGTTAAATTTTGATCATTGGAATTTTTAGACAAAAAAATCTAAAAAACAGAGAAAATGAGTAGAATTATGTTAATTTAATTTAATTAACTGAAAAATATTTAAAAAATAGCATGTAATTTTAACATAGTACTAATGAAAGAGAGGTGGAAAAAGTCTACAAATAATTGCAGTGATTTCTCTTGTGTCACTGTGTTTGTTATACAGACTCGAGTGTAGAGCAGTAACTTGTTTTTCCAGCCACAGCTCAGTTTTGCAGGTATTCATGTGAAAGTTTTGTTGTTAAGGCGTGTATTTTGTTTTGCTTCTCTGGAACTTTTTTCTTCTCTGGAAAAAAAAAAAATTGGACATCACATCACAGCTGATGGCATCAGTGCCACAGGAAGAGAACTGGTGCCAGTTTGAGGCTCTGATCAATGCCACTGTCACCATATGGCAGAGTTGTGCACAAACACAACAGCCTGCCCGTTGCCTCTGGCTCAACACGATAACCCTGTGTTTCCTGATTCAGATTTATGTCAGACATGGAGATAATTCAAAATGATGACATACGATCATTCATTTTTCCTTCTGTGGAACTGGTTTTCACCACAGTGGCTTTTCTAGCAGTACAGTTCATTATGTACAGTAGGGTTTTTTTTAGCTCTTTATCTTTTAGACAGAACATTCTCACCAAATTGACAATCAGGTTATAACCTGAATATCCAATCTAGCAAACCCTACTACAGATCAGTTCTCTTAGACCACGGTCAATGGTAATTATGATGATATTTTCCTTTATACTGATTCCTGAACAGTCTGAGACCAAATATCCAGCCATTTTAAACCAGGACAGCCCACCCTGAATCCCTCACAGCCTGTCTTTCCCTTCATCACATCGGTGTACTGACACTTCGCTTCTACTCCTCTACAACCTTTATTGTTTCTTATTTAGTTTGTCAGAAACCCCAACACAGCCGTTCTGAGACCAAACTATACTGTATACCGGTCCAACTAAGAGCCTCAATATCAGCACTGAAGACACCTGGTCCTGAAGGATGAACCAAGGTTGAAGGTTCTACAAAACTATTAAAACACTGATTGTTATAAAAGTGGTCTTCTGTTATGTTGTTGATGTTTTGCAACCACACATCCACACAGTGTTGTGTTGTTGTTGTTGTTGTTGTAGTCGGTTACTACTCCAAGGTCAGGAAAAGCTGCCCCGTCTATTCTCTTCTTTATTTATTCATCTTCCACCGCTTAATCCTTTCCAGGGTCAGGAGGAGCTGGAGCAAATCCCAGCAGACATGGCAAGGACAGGGTGCCCTGCACAGTTCACCAGTCCATCACAGGGACACATTTAGAGACACACACAAATACATAATGAATTTAGACAGGATCATTAACCTCATCCCAAATCTGCGTGTTTTTGGCCTGTCGAAGGAAACTAGGGTTTCCTGAAGAAAACCCCTGGTCACAATGGGATTTGAATATCTATACACAAAGATGAGGGTAGAACCAGCAATCTCCGGAGTCATCATTTCTATCACAGTGTTGCCCTCTACTCTTATCTTTAATATTGAGACTTAATTAGATGACTTCCACGCCTGTAGGTCAACGGTGCCCAATCACCAGGGACCAGAACTGACTCGTGGAGCATTTGGTTCAGGGCCTCACAGAAAAATTCAGATTTTTTTTTTTTAATTCATGTACAGTATTCTGGCATGGTATTTTATTTTGAGAAACCATAGTTTTCGTCTGCAACTCTTTTCAGCACTTCAGTCTGTCACTAGTTCAGTAAAGCCTTCAAAGTAACAAAAAAAACCTAATGTCTAGATAAACTGCATCCAGAAACAAAGCTGCATTGGCGACAGCTGATGTACAATGATGTTTTTAACAACAGACAATTTGAATAAACCAGTTCTCCAGTGCATGGTATGTTGCCTTCTGTGTTACTATAGAGAAAATCCTCGATCAGCTGGGAGCTGAGCATCCCTTGGTGATACAGACTGATGCACATTGGTTTGGAACCAGAGTTGTTTTTTAGTTTTGTATTGATCACTGAAAAATATTCATACAGTGGCTGTAAAATACACATTTTAGATTATATACTTTATTTTCGTTCAGCCATTTTGCCATCACATTGATTTATACTACCTTTTTAAAAGGCAGTGCAGTTTTTCTTCACATACGCTCACACTCGCGCTTTACGTGCACCAACAAAGCAAAGGTGTTTTATTTGCCGTATTGACTTCTCTTCAGAGATGTGGATCTGTGCGCCCTTCTGACACGCATGGTTCATAAAACAAAGTGTCTGAGAAAACACATCCGAAATCTCAAAAGAGGCTCACGGTGTTGAATTCAACCTTGAGAAAACAATGCGAGAAGATCTTTATTGAACAATGACAATACAGTAATGAAGCCCTTTCTTGTAGCCATAATGAGACGGAAATGCTTCTTTATTACAGAACAGGAGGGTAAAAACAAAAGGCATCAGACTCTGTGTGCTGACATTTATCATTAGATCAAGCTTTGGTTTCTGTTCTTTGCACTTTTAATGTGAAATTATGTATTAACCTTGTGACAGAAACACAAAAACACTCCGTTTGAAAGTGAATTGCATCTTTTGTATTTTCATTTGTTGTATTTTCATCTTTATGTATACATTATAATATTTACCAATGAGCAGAGGTTTTCAAAGTGGGGCCTGCGGTCCTCTGGAGGGGCGCTAGAGGGCCCTCAGAAGCGTAAATTGCTGTAACTGTCAAATTCTGAATTTTCCCATTATACCTGAATGCACCTCTTGTGACCATGCTGTTTGGGGGGGGAGGGGGGGGGGACTTGGGATAGAGACGTTTTGGAACCCTTTACTTACTAAAGGGATGGAGAGTAGATGAGAGTAGTTTTGTCTGTTTTTCCTTATTTCAGCCCACTGCTGGTCTTTTATGTAACCTTCAGCAGTTCATTGACACTTGGATTTATATAATATTACTCCCATAGCATATCACGGATACTGTTTGTTTATAGAACCAGGTCTCTATAGCAGAGGCCTGGATCCATCTCTATGTGACTTTGTTCTTTGATTTGGTTCAAGCTACAAACATCACACACATGAGTACCAAGTGGCATTATACCATTCAAAAGTGGCTCAAAAGTCATTCGTCCCTCGTACCGAGGTCAAACTGGAAGCATAAGTAGAGTAGAGAGTAGAGTAGAGTAGGGCTTTATTCATCCCCCTTGGGGGAAACATACTTGTACAGTAGCAAGTGGCAGTGCAGAAAAAGAGAGAAAAGGAGTTAACACAATAAAAAGAGTAAAAAGAACTAAAAAGCAAAAAGCACTCTAAAATTAAAGTAAACTTTAGAAAAATATACATAATGAACAAAAAATATACATATTGAACAATAAAGTGGCAGTGAAGGGTGCAGGTAATCAGTGCAATAAATAAATATTTTACCATTTAGTGCAGTTTTCATAGATAAACAGTCCTCCAGCAAAGAGAAAACACACAATATCTCTCACACACACACAGTATGATGAAAACATGTAGTTAGCATGTAGTTCATATTGTTCCTAAAAAGCCCAATGTTGTGTACAATATGATAAAAGAGAGTATAAAATGTTGGGCTTGATGAGTATTAAAATTTGAAGGTTTCCTTTTCAGAGTAGTACACTATGTAGTAATACAAAAAATAAATGTGCCTTGTCTAATAAACTTAAACTTAAACTTATTAGTCATTGTGACACAGCACAGCACACCCTGCACAACGAAATTTACCCTCTGCATTTAACCCATCACCAAAGTGAACAGTGGGCAGCCGTGGTCGGCGCCCGGGGAGCAGTGCTTGAGGACGATGCCATGCTCAGTGCATCTCAGTGGCAACCTGGCAGTTGGAGGATTCGAACCTGGGGCCTTCCGGACCAAAGTCCGCCTCCTTCACCACTAGGCCACCACTGCCCATAAAAAGGGTATTAGCAACTTATGCAAGGCAGCAGGGGGCGTCCCTGATGTCTTGCCATATTGTTCTTGTTAAGATACAGTCACTGTTTGTAGTTCAGCCCACATCCGCGTGGATTATATAGTCTAATCCTCCAACACACAAGCTGCTTGCCGTCAGGAGGTCGCCATTGTGTTTACTAGTGTGTCCATGTGCGTGTGGGACATGTCTGTGTATGCACAGGCCGCGGTGAAGCACATCAGTGGATGATGCATTTACAGGGAGGTTATGTCCAATGTAATCAAACTGTTAAAACTAACATATATACGTGCATAAGTCACGTCCATCCATGTCTCTGACTTTGAACAGAGGCTGAGAAACAAACAGAGCATTACTCCTCCCTCCTCCTCCTCCTCCGTCTGGACCACAGTCAGAGTCTGTCCTTCCAACCCCCTCATCCTCCTCCCCCCTCACATTTCCTTCTCCTCCCATCACAGGCTTCTCGCTTGGATGTTGGAATCGCTCCAAGGAGCAATGTGGAGGAAGGTAGGGCGGTAGTCACTTGTGACAGAAAAATGCAGGAGCTCTGAGCATAGCTGAGCAGGATGAATGACCCTCAGCTGCCCCAAAGCCTGAGGGACTGCTGGCTCACTGATGGCTCTGTTCATGACGTCCAGACACAGATGCTGCAAAGGTTTCGCTGAGAGAAGGCTTGGCTTCCAGCGTGGCCCCTTGTAAAGCCCAAGAGAGCAGAGAGGAAATGTGTGGGTCACTGCGTGCACTGTAAAAAGAAACTAACAAAAACATTTCTGCCTGATTTTTGTTTTACTTTGAGATTTGTCCTGCGCTTAAAGGTTATGTCTACATCTTTATTAGCGTGGTTTTTGAGAATTTACTGTGTCATGCACCTCGGCATATGTTACATCTCCCGATTTGAAAATCACTTCAGCCTTTATGTAACAAAAAGGGAACTGCAGGGTTGGACTGACCAGCACACTTCTATATGTTGAAAAAATAAAGATTATAAATGCTGTTTTTAATTAGCTTATTTAAATGGCTAAAACACTAAAAATAAGACAAAGACAAAGTCAGACTTGCGTGTGAGATGTGAAACTGGGGTCAGGCTATGAACTGGCACATTGAACACATTTTTCCTGATAATTTATATCTTGAGAACTTAATCTGTGTGGTGCTACTAGTGAAAATATGAGGTGATTCATTTATTGATAAGAGCTACTGGGAAAGACATCAGTTTCCAGAAATCATCTTCCAAAATAAAAATTAAGAAGAATTTATGTTGAAGCAACTGGGTGTAAAATGAGCTTGAACTGATTCAGAGACCAGCAACAGCCACTGGTCTCCGCACTGCACTCCGCACTCAAAATTAAATGATTGAATAGCTGATGTGTTAACCATTTAAGAAAAGAGCAGCAGGAAGTGCAGAAGTAGACGAAAATAGAACAGAAGGACATTTTGACATTCTCCTAACTTTTGCTAACAATTTAATGATACGATGCTGAGCTTTTTGACATTACAATTACACTGAAGATCCTCATTTGTCACAGCCACAGATGGAGGTGCAGACATCACCGTGTGGCTGTAATATGCACAGCATTATGAGGGAAGCAGCTGGAGATCATCTGAGTATCCAAGGAGAAAAGTGGCTGCTGCAAATGTGGCGTAGAGGGACGGAGACCGGCCATGTGTGCACCATCTTTGTTGGGATTTAGGCATCCTATCAGTACCAGGACCATACCAGGTATGTCTCTGCAATACATAGATACTGTACATAGGAGCTCACATTTCAGACATCTGTATTCACGTGTTTTAGATGGAAATTAGACAATTTATCTGATTTCTGGGCTGCCGCGTTTTCTACTACATGTTTCAGCTGTCCTACAAGAGGCTTTTTATGTTCTTGGATACGTTCTGAAATGGAATTAAAAAAGCAATTTGGATCAAAATTGAAATGTCTTCTAGACTGTACGACAGTCCAGTTGCCTTCCTCTTAACTGGCTTGGAAAAATAATAAATAATAATGTTATGAACTTTGAAAAACTTTAAAATTGAAATTTTAAAACTTTAAAATTTTAAACTGTCAAACATAAAGTGTGGCTTCATAGTAATTTGAAGAAAATTATTTGTAATAGTGGTTAAAATTTAATGCTTTATATCTGTTCTAAAATTTTAAACTGTCAAACATAAAGTAGTTTCTGCACCATCCAAAGGGGGGAGGGGGGGGGGGGAATTGAAGCACAGCCCAACCTTAAATTGAATTGTCATTCAACAGTAAATACAACAGGAGAATTAGACTTTTTAGACCTTCATTAGAAGTGAAATGTCTATATAGAGAATATCAATAAATCTAATCTAAAATTAATATAAATTCATTTGCATGGTCTCCATTCTTTTTCATAGGGTGTCCATCTGGCCCTGCTGAGCTCTGTGGGAAAAACTGATTAGAGCTATCCAATGGCATCAGTCCCTGCCCAGCAGGGCTTTGTAACAGAAGTGGTCCAGTCCTGTTTTGTCTGACCCATAATTCAGTGGGGCCTCGGAGATAGTGAGTATTCCTGCCAGAAGGCATAAAAAAACGCACCACACTAAACCGAATGTACCACATGAAGAAAACAGGGAATTACATCAAGGAAACAAACAGCCATGTGAAATAGCGGCCGGAGAGAAAAAAAAAACACCCAAACCACACAAATACATCCAGGAATAGACGTTTTATAAGGAGTAGACATCTGAACTCTCAACACAAAGGCACCAGGCTTCCAATCACTCATCCTTAATACATTCCAAACACCAGCAGCTCCCTGAGGAAACAACATGTTCATTCAGTTCACGTCAAGAGCGTGCAGAGAGAGCAGGATTTGAACAGCTGTGGGCCTGTCTCCATAAATGGGTTAACCATGTGTACAGTTGACTTAAACATGCAGCATCACTGTCACTAATTGCTCAACTAAAATCACATTTGGTTCTAGACTGATTCCTGACCTCTGGGCCTCTGTACATTCTCCATTGGTTTGACTTTTTTAGCTCCCGTTACACGTGAGCTGGATATACAGTACAATCAAGTCTTTTATGTTGAATTTTGGAAAAAATGAATGTGCCGTCTCAGACCCAGAGTAACAGAAACAGGAAAACTCTCTTCTCTTCAGTTCCTTAGTCACTCAACTCCAAATGAACCTTAAAACTATCTGCCAGACTTAAACGGGAGCTTGAGAAAAACAGATGGGCTTTGAAATAAGAAAATAGTTTTCTCTGCACGTCTGTAGGAAGGACACAAAAGTGTTTGGTTACAAATCATGGTTGAGGTGAAAATCCAGACAAGTCAACCCGTACGTTGCCAGGTCAGGTGTAAATCAGCAGATGACTTTAGCGGTCAGTTAAACCTCCTGCCTCCATAAGCAGGTGAACAGTGGGGTTACTAGTTTCTATCCACCATGATGTTCTGCTGAAAACCCACTGACTGTCTGGTGTCTGTTAGTTTAGATGGTTGAACTGATGGTAGATGGTTGGACGGGACAATGATCTAAGATAACGACACAACATTCGAGTCAGAAACAGTCAGAACTAGTAATTAAGACCATTAGCTTGTCAAGAAAATGTTAAAAAAGTTAAATCAAGAGGCCACGGGAGAGGCTTAGAGTTATTAAGCGAGTCTTGTTCTATTATTCCGACATGCGGCTGTAAATCAAATTTTGCATGGGAACTATGCGATGAATACGTCGTCACGTAGCTCTATGCGCAGAAGACAGCTTTGTTTACATTCGCCAGTTTTATTGCGTACATTGGAATGTGCTACATTCACTTTCAGTTTTATTGCGTACATCGGAATCTGCTACATTTACATTCTTAAGTTTTTGTTATTTCATTTCGTTCTAAATTATTGTGTGTATTGCGTGAGTGACATAGTTACTTATGAACAGTATGAGTTTTGACTCACCCTGCACTGAAAGTAAGTCCAGGACTGCCTGAATATGTCAGTATATGTGTATGTGCAGTGACAAGAAAGATTATATCTCTCCTCTTCTTCTAAATCTAGAGAGTCGGTGGCTTATTTTCTAATAGAATTGCACAGATATGAAAAGACTGAAGAAACAGAAACTCTCTCTCTCCTACCTTCTCTCTGACCACAAACACTGTATCTCGGTGCATCAGTAAATTGCAGTTGTAAAGATTCTCCTCAGTGGGTACCTGTCATCTAAAGTGCTTCCTGGAGATGATGTGGTGGAGAATATGAAAACCACAGATAATAGCGATTTGTTGATTGTGTAAGAGCAGCAGCAGCCTAAACACAAACTCTGCAGACCCACCACAGAAGAACAGCTCTGCCATGGCCAGCTTTAAATCACACGCACAAACCAGTCTGTCTCTAACACACACACACACACACACACACACACACACACTATCTTGTCTGTCTGTCTGACTACCCATTACTCAGCCTGTTTCCCCTCCTCTTATCTCCCCTACAGAGCGTCTGCCTCTCTCTCTGCCTCTCATCTCCTGGATCTTTTTGTGGTGGTGGTGGTGAGTGTGTCTGCTGCAGACCTCGTAACCACTTGTATCTTTACAAAATTGACAAGATCACATATTTAGCAGGAAAGAAACTCACGATACAACAAGTGCATCATTGGAAAAAAAAAGAAAAATTAGAATGTTTGGTGTATGATTTCAAATTTACATTTGACATTAATCTGATTTCTGCACTTTTGGTCCAGGTGTCACAATCACCAAGTGTCACTATCCTCTCTCTCCACGCTAATCTACTGCTGTTCTTAATCCAGTTTCTCTCACTTTTGATGAGAAATCCACTGCAGCGCTGAGGCAGGTTTACACAATAACAAAAACAGCACTTCCACTCTCTGATTGGTTGAAGATAATCGCCTGTTTACATTGCACCAGATATTGTATTAGCTGGTGTATCTGGACTGCAGGCAGGCCAGTCAAACTCTGGTATTTTATGTCTACAAAGCTGCACATACAGATAGTGAAGAATGACACCTGTATTCTAAAAACTACATTACTGGGGAAAATATGTCATCTTCAGAGTACATACAAATATCTACATGTGAGTCTCTGCATCAATGCTACCTTTAAATACATGAACTTCGACACTACTGCACCACATACCTTCACAAATACTAGCCTTTACACCAGTGCTCATCATCAGAACGGGATTTTTATTTCATTTCATTCGAGGGTCTGGCCCTCAAGGTGCCTGAAAAAAATCTGTCTCTCCAACAAATATAGTTGGTGACCCCTGCTTTAAAACTTTCCTTGACTACATATCCAATGACTGTAGTCTGCTATTGGCTGTACACAGTGTACTACAGTATATACAACACATGCCACTGTTCAGACCTGACCCATGTAAGCATTGGTCCATACATGGGTCAGGTTCCTCCTTCTTCTCTCAGTCTTGGGGCCTTATCTGTCACCATCACTTTCTGTCAAAGTCTCCTAGTGACCCTCACTGCTGTCATATTTACATTCACTACGCTGTGTTTCACAAGCACTGGGTGGAATCATCGGAGTCAGTCACCTCTGTTTGCTCTTTGACCTCTGACTTATCAGTGTGGAGACTCAACGTCACACTGATGTCCTCGCTCTCCGGGGAGTCAGAGCCGAGTCACATCAATTAGACAGCTCTGGTTGTTAATTAGCTGTGTAATGAGTCTCGGTAAGTGTCCGCGTTTGTGTGTGTGTGTGTGTGTGTGTGTGTGGAAAACAATGCTAAAGCTAAAGCCATATTATCAGTGGCCTGCTCTGCTCTCCAGCTTACACTTTGGCTGCTGCGCGGCTACAATACAGCTCACAAAATATGGTTTGCTTTTTCATATTTCCACAACTTTTGCAATCGTTTTAGTTTGACCTTGTCGTGCAGTTACCATTTCACAAATTGCTTTTGAGACGTTGAAGGCTACACGTGAGGACAAAATTGTGTTGGTGCTAGTAGGTTCTGCTGTGAAAGTAAGCTAAATGTGACATTTTGTAAATGTGGATGAACTCCTTTGTAGAGAAAAGTGGTATTTTTTCAGATTACCCTAAATATAAAATTTAAGAGTTACATTTTTTTGTGACACTGCACTGAACGCTTTGTTTGCTTCTGGTCTGTTTTTTAAAGCCAGCAGTCACATTCTTTTACAGTGCTGCCTGTACTACTTTATATATAAGGTAAACGTTCTCTTCTGATCTTTAACTCTGCTGTAATATAACAGCTAACAACTAGCTCCAGCTGTCGATGCTCACTGTACTGTAATTCCCTAAAAGCGTGTCTTATCTATAATCTGTAAAATTCTAGTTTTTTTTTGTTTTGTTTTGTTTTTTTCATTTTCTTTCCCTCCAGATTTCATTAAAAGCTTCATTTCGGCTTTTGTAACATGGCATTGTCTAATTAGCCTGTATTTTCTGGCCTTGAGCTCATATTCCCTGCTCTGCTTCTTTATTTTATGCGTCTTTTCCTTTTTCTGTTCGTCTCCAGAGATAATCAACCTTCATCTGGGCCTCGCCCCAACACTGCTGGGAAAATGCCTTCATTCAGAAAAAAAAAGATGTTCACACAGGTCTTGGTAGTGTTTACATCACCACTATATTTGTACCATGTTTTCTCTGGTTGCACCTTCCACTTTGTGGCCATTTACATCCAGGGGATCAGACAATGATGTCAGAGAGCAATTTCTGTGCTGTAAGCAGTCTGAGAGACCATAAGAGTCTGAACCTTTGACAGCAGTTGTGCCTTCACATGAATTAATACACAAATATAGGCTCAAATACACAGTGTTCCCCCATGCACACAGTGATAGCTGCCCCATGCCCATTTGCCTGTTTACTGCCTCACTGACCTTTTTCACAGGTGAGTTTCCTTTTCCTTTCATCAGCGCTGCTCAGACAGACACAATGATGTCTCCTCTGTGCTCTGTCTCCCCTGGGGTTCCTTATGAAGGTGGCTTCCTTACTCGGAGGAGACCTGCCATTAAAAGAAATCAATTCCATCCACACGCAGCCCACAACGTCAGTGCAGTGGCCTCTTTTCGAGTCAGACAGGCGAGCCCACTCCTATAAATCAGCATAACTAAGATATTTGTGGTCAACTTGGGAGAAGATTTATGCTGGGCTGGATATTACACCCGGTCTATCAGGCTCGCGCAGAAGGGCTGGGGGCCGCTGCAGGCGTGGAGGTGGATGGAAAAAAGTAATGAAAAGATGGAGGAGGATCTAGATCATCAAAATAGGGGGTAGGGTGGGGGGTGCATGGTTTTACCAGAGGGATAAGGCCAAATAAAAGAGAGGAAGACCGCAAATGGAACCCACCCACAGGAATCCTGAACAGGGAGTTAAGGCCAGATGAGAAGTGCCAGGTGGAGAGATGGATTGGGGAGAAGGTTGCAGGAGGCTAAAGGTGGTGCCAGGTTGTTAGAGAGCCATGAATTAACTGTGGCTGTCATATATAGATAACCTGAGAGCAACCTCACACACATCATCCAGCCGCCTGATCCGGGGCATCATCAAGGATGTCAGTTCACTAAATCCTACAGTAAGGATCCTCCGGTCCTCTGCACCTGTTATCTGAGGTTACCCACCACACAATACAATACAGGCACCAGGAGAGTGGGAACAAACAAGGCCATAAGTTACACCTTAAACAGCTGTACTTTTCATCGACATCGACATTCAAACATCTACAGTCACATGTTGCTTTTGTCTAAAGTTTAGCATCCATGTGTTTTCCACTTACCATTAGAAGAAAAAAGTAGTTTGATCGAAGATCGTCCTTTGTTGTTGCATCTCAAATTTTATAATATAATTTTGGTCTCATTTCTGATTCAGATTAATGATGCAGTAGCTGCACCAGGGAGAATTAATTCTGGTTCTTCAGACTGTGTTAACCACTTCATTTATTTGCTGTCCTTTTGATAGTTGTTTTTTTACAGACCTGCTTTCAGAACCTGACATGTCAGGTTTTACACAAACAGAAGGTTTATAAGAACATCCTTCATCCTGAGTAACATCAAGGTCAAAAGATTTTACTTGTTGACATATCTTAGCTCTGACACTGTTATGACACTGTTGAAGAAGATTGTAACATGGGAATGAGGGATGGATGTTGGCTTTTTTTTTTTTTTTTTTTTTTTTGCTGAGATCCATGTCGTGCCTTGGGAAATGTTAGATAGCAAGTATTTTTTTCTGGCTGTCAGAATAACATGTTATTTACTTAATTTAATTTGTGGAATTAATCTGATGAAATTACTTAACATATTTTGACAAGGGCAGGAAGTCAGGCACGCTGTGTATCAAATAAATCCACTTTTTGTTGCTCTGATACACAATCAATCAATTTGTCATCAACACACACTGCGGGAAACCCTGCTATGAAAATATCATCTCAACATCCAGCATGCGTTTGCGGGGGGCTGATTGGTGGGGGGACATTATTCGTGATTAATTGGGATTAATTTGTGGCTTTCCTGTGATTAATAAGATTAAAATTTCTAATTTTAGTTCCAATGATCACAAGCTCAACATAAAAAAGGAAAGAAAATCACAGCTAAAGGCCCAGTTGAGGTTTTTCACCAGTCTGTTGCCCGATGGAATGAAACTCTATTCATTACATCATCCTCTCAAGTGCACAGTAATATGTGCCACGGTGTAATACTGCACTGGTAAGGCCTACACCAAGACTGTGCAGTAATTACACTGTACATGGCAGGCTGTAATCTAAGGCGGTACCTGACAATGCTTTTGGTTTTTTACCTTTTCTCTCTGAGAAGACTGTCTTGGAATCGGGCTCTGGGGTTATTGTCCCTCCACCACAACATGCAGCATACAGACAAAAGCCACAGAACCCATCGCACCTCCGTGTTCCTAAAGCCTATAAAGTATCACACCTGTACGTGTCCCGTGGGACTGATGTCTGGGGTGGCCGTCAGGATGTCTACAGTGTCGGGTGTCCAACCTACATACTAGAACAATGCTGTGAGACAATGCTCAGGAACTACATGCATTTGACATGGTTTCAGTCATGCAAAGAAGAAGAACCACTGTGTCACTTCAGATAAGGAGAAAGGCCTCCTTTATATGCAGAGAAATTAGCAGGAGATTTGGGAAACGAAATTATATGGAATAAAAGCCTGCATTAACACCGTGGTCAGATGTCTTTAGTTTCTTTTTCTTTTTGCATGATTATGCAGTGATGTCAAGAGCGAAGTTTGCATGATAATTACCATCTGAGATGAAAATTGAGAGTTGAGTCATTTGTATTTTATTATGAGTCATTGGCAGTGATTATGTTGTAAAGAAAGGTCTTTGACAGACTAGTGCTAAGTGGTTCGTAGAAATTCACCTGCTTCTGGACTGGCCTTTAAATGTAGTACAGAAATATCTACAATGCTGAGGTTTATTATAATATTGTATTGTATTTTACCATTAGTCAGCTTGTAGAATTGGATGTTTCTAGTGCCAAAAATCATCTCTGACGCCAGGAGTGTCCAAATAAAATTGATGAAAAGTATTCTGGGTTAAATTCAACAGCTCATGTGTGGATTTGGTACAGGAAATGTTTTCTTTCCAAGTTCTAGTTGCTATACTTCCAACCATCCTTATAAATGTCCTTTATCTACTGTTTATTCCTTTGCAGGTGATGGGCACGGGTGCTGGAGCCAATACCCTGATGAGAATGTTTTTGTGCTGCAGAAGGAAACAGGGGTAACCCAAGGAAACAGAACGACCACCTTCAGATCAAACCAGTGATCATCTTACTGAAAAGGCAAGCATTCTAACCATTCTTCCACCATGTGGCCTCCGTTGCTGCACTAATGCCTGTAAAATGACCACTTGACATTTCCCTTCTCCAACTAAAGACGGTGACGTGATTGATTCGGAGGGTCACGACAGGTCACCGTTATGCAAATTATAAATAATATGTATACTGTTAAAAGGGAAAGTGAATTGCTTCACGCAGATTGTGTCCTTCTGAGGTTCTTCTGTGGCGTTCCGTGTCAGCAGAGTGTAATTGACTCTTTACATTATCCATTACAATGGTCAGAGTTGAAAACCAATGGTTCCAAGGTCAGCAGGAGGTCGTGAGCCAGGATGAAATGATCACTTGGATTTGGTCAGAAGACTTCCATCTTCATGGTTCACACAGAGTGAGAGTTAAAGTGTCTCCTCTTTAAGAAGTGATCTCATGTGATTTAATGTCACATTGGTCTTCTGGACAAACTGTACCAACATCTCACGTTCAAGTTAGAGAAGTTAATGAATGTACACTCAATGAATTCACGATAGCTGTTAGAGTCACTCTTAGTATCAAATTAAGAAAGTGTCACTTACATTTGTTATTGTGAAGATGGAACTGTGCGATCATCGTCCACTCTATTGGGATCATTGTGTTAGTTCCATGTTTAAGCTCATCCTGGTTTTTTCTTAGTATGTCTGTATAGACATGACAGCCTCAGACATCAGTCAAAAGAGCTGTATAGATTTAGAGCAGATCAGTGTTGAGATAATTGGAGAGATTCAATCTCGTTTTATTAAACCAACAGAAGAAGAAGAATCAGGGGTCACCACAGCTGTAGTCCACAGAATGACTAGTCAGAGTTTTCACTCTGGATTTGGGAACTGTGTAGTGAAGTTAATGGATGGATGAATGAATGTGCACATAATTGACAATAAATGGAGCGTGAGCGAGAGGCAAAAAGCTAAGAGTTAACAACATTTGCTTCACTTTTGGTCATAAATGAAACGACGGTTCTCTGTGGTGTCCCATGTCAGCTGCTTGACATTGTCTCTTTACGTTATTGGATACAATGGTCAGTGTTGAAAAATAGTTTGACTGATTGACTAAGGTCAGGTTGAGGTCATGACCCGAGACAATGAGATCACTTGGTTGAGGTCAGAAGACTTAATGATGTGATTTATGTCATATTGATCTCCTTCAAATATGTTTTCTGTAAAATACTTTTGTTAAATTCAAATACCAATGGGTTTCTATTGATGAGGATCATATTCCTAATGAAGTAACACTCTGTCATTCACTACACATATATTCTATAATTCTATTCCATAAATTCTATAAACAACCAAATTCACATTGAACAGGTTGAGCAATTATTTTGCTTACACTTTAACAACAGTGTCACGCTGATGCTGCTGATTGTTTTGACCAAAAATGTCACCTATTTGCACACAGCCTGCCAATATAAAGTGACTTACAAGTTGAGGATTAACAATCAGGTTACATAAAAGAACTCTTGAAAGGAGACCAGGGGTTAGGACACAAGTGCTGAAGGAGACAGAGGAGAGGAGCAGTAGAGGAGGACAGAAGAGGGCTAGGACAGGAGGTGCTCTCTGAAGAGTCTTGAAGACAGGCAGGGACAACACTGTTCTGGTAGTGCTTGGTAGGTCGTGGCATGGAATGACCCATTAAAAGAGCCTTGGATCACCTTGTGCGGCGTGTTGGGACAGCCAGACGACGTCCCCTTGACGAGTGGAGAGATCTTGAGGGAACATGAAGCTTTATCAGAGTACTTAAGTATGTAGGAGCAGACTCATTAAGTACTTTGTAGGCTAGCAACAGTGATTTGAATTTGATGCGGCAGCTACGGGTAGCCAGTGTAGCTGAATGAGCAGGGGGGTGACATGTGCCCCTCTAGGCTGATTGAAGACAAGGCTCGCTGCCACGTTCTGGACCATCTGGAGATTTCAACCATTTCAACCTTTATAAGATCTATCTCCATATTTGACTCTGCCATGTGTTTTTTTCCATGTCATTTTATACAATTGTGTCACTCACTGAATAAGTAGCAAATATTAAACTTAAAAAAGTTCTTAAATTATTCTCTGGTGGCTGTCAAGATGTCAGGTTTGTCATCAGGTCCGTTGTTGTGCTGTAGGCTGGTGCGACTGTTTTGAGCTTCAACAGTCAACTTGGCGATGAGCTGCAGGCTGCTACGTAGAGTGCTTCGGATTTTTGGTTTAAAAATATGTCTTTTAGCTGTTCATACTTAAACCTATGAACCACATTCCTCCTCCATCAGTGCAGGTGTGCTAAGACGCTGCAGAGAGAGGCCTCAGCGCTGACACTGACTCTATCCAGGCCATAATACATGAGTCACCCCGAGGGAGGGGGAGAGTAAGACTATCACATTGCACATGATTAATGTAGGGCTCTTGTCTGCTAGCAGCAGTAATGAAGGAGACTCTGTGCCTCTGGGCATCTGCAGACTCTGTTCCCAAACTGGGACTTGGCCCCTCTCTGCATGCTTGACCAGAGAAGTTGAGGGTCTTTCCGAGTCGCTGCAAACCTGCTGCAGTGAATGGATACCCAGATGAAACGAGGCAACCTTGAAAAGTTCAAAGACAGAGTTTCCCCTCTGTTGACCCCCACGTAATTTTTCTTTGTCTCCGCTCTCAATCTTTCACTTGACTTTTACTCTCAGTCTCCATCTTTCACTGCAGCTCAAGCTCGCTCACTCACTCTCTCACTCTTTTCCTGTCACTGGTATTCTTTACTCTCTCTGCTGCGGGTGAGTCCCAGGTCAAATGACTCAACCTTTGAGAGAGAGATAAGGATCTCAAACCATGGCATAGGACAAACCCATTTCCTCACACACTTGGTGTGTGTGATGTTTTTATTGTACGCATTCCAGTAAATCAGCAGCATGTGCATTAGTAACAGAGTTCATAGACAGACATTTCATTTCAGAAGGTGTCTGAAAAATGACACCTAAAACATCTCAACACCCAAAAAAACACCTTTTTTCGAAACTGAAAGAATATTTGAAAGCACCTAGTTTCCTGACTGAAACTAGTACTTTAACATGTGCTGTACTGTACATGTGTACTGTAGATATCATAAAGGCGTGAATCCGTATTTCCCTATCGTCACTCACTAATACGTCTTATTGTGCACTGGTCGTCGTTTGGTTTGTGTTTCACTCTTGCTGTTTGATCCTTCCAGATCTAATCTGTTTTGGTTCTCAAGCTATGGTTTCCTGTCAAATTTGCTAAATGCTAACTAAACCACACTTGCTCAGTTAGCTCATTGTAGCTGGTCTGGGTAAAGCTACATGCTAATATTATTTAAAAGGCTTTTGCAAGAGATGATTGTTTTTCAACAACGTTATTTCAAGTGAAAACAATAATTTTCCTGATAATGTTATAAACATGTAATACAAATATAGTCATGTTGTGTACAGTTTGGTACAAAAACACAGACTGTTACAACCCCAGTATTTAAACAAGCTTAAAGAAGTAATTGTGAAGAGTGTATTGTTTTGCTGTTTGCAAGCAAGTGCAACCATTTACCTGGTTGGACTAGTACAGCACAAAAAAATGTAATAAAGAGCATACACCTGTATGGGTTCTTTAGTTTTATGGAACCAAAACAAGTAATTTAAATAGTTTTAACATAACGGGGAGATAAAACTCAATAAAAATTTAAAATAACATTTTTCATAATTTAAAAATCCAGGAAACTAATACCTGGCTAGTATCAAAATACCAAGTCAGCAAAAGATTAAAGAGAAGACACACTTATTACTAATTCATGGAATGTGGTGTCCAAACGTAATGGCCCTTGTGATTCCATCAAAACATGCATCAGGGATGTTTTGTCCCTTATGACATCAATGGAATCATCAATGTCACTGGAAGTGACATCTTCAAAGCCCTTTGTCGGTCCTACTACTTGTTGGTCTTTTGTTGGTGAATAACATGGTTGAAATCCAACAGTTGTAACATTAAAGAACAACTTTTTAAAAGGAAAGATCAAAGTAGACATCACTTTGGTATTAACTGATCAAGCAAACATGTTTTGTAGAAAATAAGTGCAGAACCAGTTATTCATTTTTCTGCATTTACAAATCTTTGTGCAAAACATAATGAGGTCCAGTGAACATCACAGGAGTGCAGTAAACTGTGGAGCCATGTTCGCACTCTCCAGTCGTTCTGAGGAGAATGTTACAAAAAACAGTTTTGCCCAGAAGATGAACAGTGGTTGGGATGGTCCACAGCTAATTAAACTAGGAGAAGTGGCTCTGCAGAGGAAAACCGAACACCTGGTACATGTTCTGAGGCAGGAGCAGGTCTTACAAGCCCAAGAGAGAGTCAGGGTGAAGGAGAAAGAGGAGCAGCTGAGAGGTGAGCAGCAGAAGCTGAGGCAGATGCTCATCACGTCTGATGAAAGGGAGAGGCTGCTGATGGCCAAAGTGGAACGGCTGCACAGTCTTCTGCAGAAAGAAAGAGGCGCTCACAAACAGGAAATGCTGAGGATGAAGGAACTGCAGAAGCACATGCTGCAGCAGGAGCAGGCCTCTGAAGAAAACCATGAGAGGCGGAAGGAGAGCGGAGAGCAGGAGAGAGGAAAAGTTCACATGCTGAGACAAACGTTGGCCACGGCCGATAAAAAGTCAAGGCCACTCATGGACAAAATCGAACAGCTGAACGGCCTGCTGCTGAAGGAACGAGCCTCACACCAACAGGAAGTACTGAAGCTGAAAGAGAAGGAGGAGATGATCAGTCAAGAGATGCAGAGAGAAAAAGACAAATCTGAGAATGTTAATAAGCAGTTGCAGACTCTTCTGAAGGCCATAGAGCAGGATAAAACCTCTGCAGCAGAGGAGCATCTGGAAAACCAACAAATGGAGCTTGGCACCCAGACCATAATGACAGATGAAGCCCAAATACTAAAATGTCTAACTGATTTTGAAAAACTGCAGGAACAGAGCGATGGCAGTACACAGCCCCTGCAAGAAGATGACAAGAACACTGCTCCAGCGCAGATCCAGGAGGACCAGGAAGATGAGAGCTGCAAGACCACAGAAGGACAGAGCAGCTCAGAGGACGAGGATGAAGACGAACTGTGGTCATTAAAAACCAATGATAACCTAAATGTGGAGGAAATCCCTGATCTACAGGCTCAAAACAACTTGTCCCTAGAGGAGGAGGAGGAGGAGAAGGTGAAGGAGATGGAGGACATGGAGTCTGACCCAGAATCAGAATCTCCAGAGGCCTCGTGTGAAAACATCAACAGGGTGTCTGAGGATCCAAGGGCGCCATGGTGGAAAAAGTTAGTCAGCATGAGAATCTGGTAGTTGACTGGACCAGTGTGACCTTCATGAACGCCAAAAATGTTTTTTAGTTTATTAAGAAGGTCTCGTCCCATCAACCCAACGTTAAGAGTCGTCAACTAGTTCACACTGGAACTAGTTAGTTTGTGTAGTGGATGAAAATGTCGTCACGCAGCGATATATGTGGAAGATGGCTTTGTTTACATTCGCTGGGTGTACAGGGTTCTCAAGCTTAGGCTGGAGTTCGCTACCACGGACGCTGCTTCCTAAGATGGGCTGCAACAAGTCCTGACGAATGAAAGGAGGCGCTCCAGCAAATATCATTCAACGAGCTTAAGTTCCACAGATAATAGTCCGACAGCGAATGATGACAAATTCACCCATTCATGAAAAGTCTATCTTTATGTCTCCACACCAATAAACAACGTGTGAAAGTACTTTTAAATGTCTGCCTTTCATAAGTGTTAATAAAGTAAGCTTTACAAAAAAGGACTTCCAGTTTTTTGTTAAATATTTTATGGTATATTTTTTCTGCATATTTTTCAAATTTGGTATTACAGTAAAAGTCTTTGCTTCTAAAACACAATCCATCCAATCAGAAACTTGTTTACATGCAGTTTATAAATGGCTGTATATTGTGTTCACTTTGACTGCAGATTGATATTTATCAAATATTTTAGCCTAATTTGGTTGTATTTAAATATGTATTTCATTTGTTTCGCTTTTATTTTTTATTTATTATCTAACTGTGACATATCTCATAATGTCTTTTTTGTCCTTTTATTTCGACTTTTTGTCTCATCATCCCAACTATACAGCTCATATAAAGGACCTTTTGTCACATAACTTTTTGCTCTCCCTTTACCATGGCTTTATTATTTCATAACCTTTGACCTTTTAACCTCTGTTGTTATTTAAAGGCATTACTGCTGCCCCGTGAACCTCACTTTTTAACATGCTGTTGGAAAAGACAACACAACTGCGATATGTCTTTAATGCATGGCTGCGTGACAGCATGCTTTAGAACCACTGGACGTAGCATGCTTTAGGGATTTTGGCATTGGATTTTTTTTTTTTGGTGATGGTGTGTGTTTACCTCCCTGACTCTGTGGAGAACGTTTGACTCCCATACCCTCCCATTGGGCCCTTTGTCTGTGTGTGGGTGTAGTGAGACTGTCCAGTCGCTAACTTTGCTCATCAACTCATCAAGTGTGTGTTGAAAGGCATCAGCGAGGAGAAGTGAGTGGGTGAGTCAACACGTGTCCACCGCTGCTGCAGCCAGTTAACTTTAGCGCTCTCCAAGCCTACTTCACCGCCGCTCTCTCTCTGCAGCACTGATAACACAGCACAACATCGCCTACACACGGGCAGACACACACACACACTCACACATACAACTGCGTTAACAAAGAGAAAACACACACCGACACAGGCAACACTCATGAAGGATATGGGAAAAAGCTGCACAATACACAACCTTACATTAATAATGACTTAACTCCGAGGTCGTGCTGTACAACTCTGCACATTAATAATTCTCCACACAACGAAGGCTGAGGGGCCCCATAACAGACCCTGAGGTCAGAGTCCGGTGTGTGCGTGTGAGAGTGTGTGTGCGTGTATTTGTACGCCACTCTGGTTATGTCCTCTGCCTCCGATACAGGAGTGAGGTGCGTGTGCAAAGCAGAACTGTATGGACTCTGTCCCCCATGTGAGTTAGTTATCAATGGGACCACAGGTCTGAGCATCTGAACCACATAATGGGTCGTAAAGTGAAGAAAAAGAATGTGTGTGTGTGTGGCTCTGTCTGGGTGTGTGTGTGTGTATGTGGTGTAGTATTGCAGGCGGTCATGTGTCCCACTGTGTGATATGGTTAACTGAGGAGTGTAGAACAAATGGGCTGATTAAGTAGCCTTTGTACACACCTACTCCAGTGTGTATGTAGTAGTGTGTAGTATTGTGTATATAGTGTGAATATGTATCCCTGAACTTGTGTTATATATTTTTTATTTTTTTTATTAGCAATTTTCTTTGACGATTTACATTTTCTTCTTGTTGTCGTTCAATGGCAGGTAATCACACCGTGAGGGAACTTTGATTTTTAAAGAATAGCTCTGTGGACACAGAGTACTTTTAACAGCAGTATTCCCTTCACACAGTAACAGTTAAAGAAATCTCAACTCATAAATGAATGAATGAATATTCAAATTAAATATAAAACCAAAGCTGTTGGCCACTCTCTGGGTATTTACTTTTTATCTACAGGTCATTTGTTATAGAAAATCAAATAACCGCCAGTGTCCACAGCCAAAATCCTAACGTAACAACCGAAACTTTAAGGCAACAGCAAGTCCCTTCTCAGATGATGAGGAAAATTTGACTTTGTTCTTTTCCATCCTGGTGTCCTGACATTTAGGACTGCCCCTTTAATTTTCTGATCATCTGAATATTGTATTGTTACTGACTCAATGGTTTTGGGGGTTTCCCCCTTTTTTTATTTTTCTTTACCATAACTAACAGAGTTGTATGCAATGGGTTTTCCCTCCATTAACACAGCCTTTCAGAACAACCAGCCCATGTTATGAAGAAGCTCACTGTGTGCTGGTGGAACAGTGTCGTAAGGCTGCTACGACTGTTCCTCATCAGGCTGTCAAGTGTCCTGTATGTCCTTACTCAGAAACACTTTCTTGAGATTTAAATGGCTGGGGGATAATAGATGTTTGAAAATTTGAGGGTCACAGGAAGGCTAAAAGCAGTGGCGAATGCCCTCTTAGAGGAGTTAATGCCCCCAGAGTGAGGGCATATTTTCTCAGATTAGATTTAATCCCACTTTCACAGGGGGAAGGATGAGATGAGATGAGCAATCTCTTCATCCAGCTCAAGATACTGTGATTTTAGTTTAATGGACCAATGGCTGCCCAGGTGTGTGTGTGTGCGTGCACTTGCACATGTACTTCTCATTTTCATCAATGCAATGCTATAATAAATATCTTTCAATTATCAAATCAATTAGTCATTGAGGCCCATGATCTGCTAACGATGACTTCCAACACGCTGAGTGTGGAATGATTGTTGTGGTTTTCAGGCAGTAGGTGTGGAATAATTATAGATGAAAAAAGTACAACATTGTCAGTGACGTTTGGAGATTAGTCTGTGAACAACTTTTATCACCACTTTGCTAAGATTTCTATTCTGCAGATTGTTCTTTTACTGAAACTGACTTTCTGTGCTGTGACAGCTTTTGAAACACTGCCCAAATCATTTAAAATATATGTTTATGGCTTTCCAAGGAAAAGGGCAAAGATGCAAGTATGA